ACAGAATTGTTACTCAGGGACACAGAATTGTTACTCAGGGACAGACACAGAATTGTTACTGAGGGACACAGAATCGTTACTGAGGGACACAGAATTGTTACTGAGGGACACAGAATTGTTACTGAGGGACACAGAATTGTTACTCAGGGACACAGAATTGTTACTCAGGGACACAGAATTGTTACTCAGGGACAGACACAGAATTGTTACTCAGGGACACAGAATTGTTACTGAGGGACACAGAATTGTTACTCAGGGACAGACACAGAATTGTTACTGAGGGACACAGAATTGTTACTCAGGGACAGACACAGAATTGTTACTGAGGGACACAGAATTGTTACTGAGGGACACAGAATTGTTACTCAGGGACACAGAATTGTTACTCAGGGACAGACACAGAATTGTTACTCAGGGACACAGAATTGTTACTCAGGGACACAGAATTGTTACTCAGGGACAGACACAGAATTGTTACTGAGGGACACAGAATTATTACTGAGGGACACAGAATTGTTACTCAGGGACACAGAATTGTTACTCAGGGACACAGAATTGTTACTCAGGGACAGACACAGAATTGTTACTGAGGGACACAGAATCGTTACTGAGGGACAAAGAATTGTTACTGAGGGACACAGAATTGTTACTCAGGGACACAGAATTGTTACTCAGGGACACAGAATTGTTACTCAGGGACAGACACAGAATTGTTACTCAGGGACACAGAATTGTTACTCAGGGACACAGAATTGTTACTGAGGGACACAGAATTGTTACTCAGGGACAGACACAGAATTGTTACTCAGGGACACAGAATCGTTACTCAGGGACACAGAATTGTTACTCAGGGACACAGAATTGTTACTCAGGGACAGACACAGAATTGTTACTCAGGGACACAGAATTGTTACTCAGGGACACAGAATTGTTACTGAGGGACACAGAATCGTTACTGAGGGACACAGAATTGTTACTGAGGGACACAGAATTGTTACTCAGGGACACAGAATCGTTGAATTAAAGAGTATGTCAGACAACACGCAGAGGAGTGGCAGAGGAGGCAATGTTTCAGGAGCGAGCAGATGTGGCAGCAGAGGAAGGGGTCGAGGCAGCACTAGTCGCAGCCAGAGGCCAGTGCTCCCGGTGTCATCCAGCGGTCGTGTCTCCACCGACAACCCTGCCGTCATCGATTGGTTGGCTCGGTCGTCTTCCTCTTCCCAGGTCACCTCTGACACCTACAGCCAACGGTCGGTGGGTACGTCAGACACAACCGTTAGTTGGCATGGCCCGGGAGCAAGCCCACTGAAATCACGTGTCCTCTACCTGCCCCTGTCCTTTGGTGTTCCCTCACCAAGCGAAGTATCGCATGCTGTGGGCTCAGCCCCACTGTACAGTGAGGAAGAGCTAACAGAGGGCGGTCAGGAACGGGGGGAGACATCCGCCTCTTCAGCAGCCAGGCGAAGAAGTACTGGCGAGGAGAGTGGCTCGGTAGCTGGTCTAGAGACAGGTCTGTCTCCTGACCCACATGCAGCCGAGGGGGCTAGTAGTGAGGCGGAGACCCTAATTGATGATGATGAGGCTGATCGCACTTGGCAGCCTCGTCGTCATCAGGCTATTGCTTCCGCATCATCAGGAGAAGAGGGGGTGCCAGCTTGCCAGCGAGCAAAACAGTCGGTGGGTTGCCCCAGGAGGCAGCAGGGTCGCAGCAGTGTCAGTGGAGGCAAACGGCCACGGAGTAGAGCACCAGCTCCACTGCAGCCTACCACCACGGCCAGTAGTGGTGCCGGTGTGCACGGAGGAAGTAGCAGTCAGCCAGTGAGGAGTAGCGGGGGCAAAGTTTCCTACTCGGCGGTGTGGCAATTTTTCGTCAAGCCGCCCGAGGAAGTAAACGTAGCCGTATGTCGACTATGTGGCCAGAAAGTCAAGCGTGGCCAGGGGGCCCATGTTGGGACTACAGCGTTGCGTCAGCATATGCAGCGTCGCCATTCGGTGGCCTGGGAAAACCGTGATAAAGATACGGCGGTTCTGCCTGCCCCAGCCCCCGCTCCATCACCCGCTCCGTTACTTGCTCCGTCACCCGACGTCAATCGCCCTCTATCAGCCAGTCAAGGCTCCAACACCTCTGCTGAGGGGAGTTGTCGCTCGTTGGCATCTTCCGCTCGTTCAGATGCTCCTTCTCCTGCTACTCCTCTTCACGGATTCCGTCAGCAGTCTTTCTTGGAATCCGTTTCCAAGAGACAACAGTTTGCGAGCACGCACCCGACGGTGTGCAAAAGCTGAACGTCCTCCTGTCCAAGTTGCTGGTGCTGCAGTCCCTCCCTTTCCAAGTGGTGGACTCAGCACCTTTCCGAGATATGATGGCTTGTGCCGCACCGCGGTGGAGAGTGCCAAGCCGGCATTTCTTCGTCAAAAAGGCAGTGCCAGCCCTGCATTCACATGTAGAAGAGATGGTGGGCCAGTCTTTGAGCATGTCGGTCTCTGCCAAAGTGCACGGCAGCGCCGACGTGTGGAGCTGTAACTACGGTCAGGGACAGTACATGTCATTTACGGCCCACTGGGTGAACGTGGTGCCGGCCCAGCCGCACCAGCAACTTGGACAGGTCACGCCGCTTTTGCCTCCACGTTTGCACGTCCTTGGTCCACAAAAGATGTCCGCCTCTACCACCTCTTCTTCCGCCGTGTCCTCAGCCGCCACCCCCGTGCCAAGTCCCATTACCCGACCGGCATATCACATGTGCAGGGCGCAACAACGGTGTCACGCTGTGCTGCACCTGGTATGCCTTGGCGAACGTAGTCACACAGGGGAGGTACTTCTGAGTGTAATGAACAGAGAAATCGACAGATGGCTGTCTCCGCGCAAACTGAAAATCGGAACCATGTTGTCTGACAACGGAAAGAACATGGTGTCTGCTCTGCGTCAAGGAAGGTTGTGCCATGCGCCATGCATGGCTCACGTGTTCAATCTGGTTGTCAAGCGGTTCCTAAAATCCACCATCCCACTGCAAGACATCCTTAAAACGTCACGTAAACTTTGCATGCATTTCAGCCATTCCTACACCGCAAAGCACACCCTCCTTGAGGTGCAGCGGCAGAACGGAATTCCACAGCATCGCCTGATCTGCGACGTTGCAACAAGGTGGAATTCAACCCTACACATGTTAGACCCGCCTTTACGAACAGCGAAAGGCCATCACCGATTTCCTGATGTTACAAGCGGATAAAGGTACTCCCCTGTGTAACTTCGATGTCAGCCATTGGCAGCTCATGCGTGACACCTGCTGCTTGCTCAGGCCCTTTGAGGAGGCCACGCTATTCGTGAGTCGGCAGGACTATGGGATGAACGACGTCATTCCTCTGTTGCACGTCCTGGAACAAAATGCTGTTAACAATGGCTGGTCAGGGTGCGGTAGACGTGGCGCACAGATCTCAACGCCACATGACCCCTGTGGGGGCAGGACAGGAAGAAGAGGAGGAGGTAGAGGAGGACATTGGTGCTCAGGAATTATTGAGTGAAATGGGTGGTTTTTCCACTCAGCGGACAGGAGTGGAGGAGCAGGAGCATCTGGTAGAGGAGGAGGAGGAGAGACAGAGGACCCAGACGCACCGTGGCAGTATGCTGTGGAGATGGAGGCAGTGAGTCCCTCGCATTCCTTGGCACAAATGGCCCATAGCATGCTCGGTTGCTTGCGTAGCGACAGCCGAATAATAACCATCAGACAGAGGGATGACTTTTGGCTGTCCACCTTGTTGGACCCTCGCTACCGTTCAAAAATGGTGGCCTTTTTCACACCTGCTGAGAGGGAGGCCAAAATAACGTACTATAAAAACCACCTATGTAGTCAGTTGGTCTCTGCCTTTCTGCGCCAACGTCCATCCTCAGACACTGTGGGCCCTGTGCGCTCGCGTTCCGCTGCCATGGCAGCAGGGGAGGGGTGGGGTGGTAGGAGCAGTGGCAGCTCCACCAGCAGTGGCTGCCTCAGTCTGCAGTCGATGATGAGTAGCTTTCTTCACCAGCGCAGTGAGGAAACTACTAACCAGCCGCAGCAGCAGCAGCATCAGGTGGACCTGGAGCAGGACCTCAAACAACAGGCTTGGGCCTACTTGGACAGCACCCTGCCAACCGAGGTAGACAATCCCCTTGACTACTGGGCAACGAAACTTGACCTTTGGCCCCAACTAGCTGAATTTGCCCTTGAAAGGCTGTCATGCCCGGCCAGTAGCGTGGCATCGGAGCGCGTGTTTAGTGCGGCAGGAGGTATTGTAACTCCGCGGAGGACACGACTGTCCACCCAAAGTGTGGAGAGACTCACGTTTGTGAAAATGAATCAGGCGTGGATTAGTCTGGATTTCAAACCACCAGTTCCTGACACAACTGACTAAATCCGCCATGAATCATGCCCCAAACATGTTATTATTTTTTAACATAGGCCTCTGTATGGCCTTCAATTTAAGCTGCTTACGCTTCGCCACTCTGCCATGGGCCCCTGTACCGCCTCCTCTTGCTGCTGCCAGGTCCAGAGTGTCTCATGGGTCCCTGTACGGCCTCCCATTGCTGCTGTCTCCATCGCCACACTCTCTGCCATGTGCCACTTTCAGGTCTCCTCACACTGCTGGTGGGTTCCATTTTGTCATAGGGTGCTGGCAGATTACGGGCCTCCCATTGCTGCTGCCAGGCCCGTAATCTGCCATGGGCCCCCGTAACCGACTCCTCATGCTGCTGCCAGGCCCGTAATCTGTCATGGGCCCCTGTACCGCCTCCTCATGCTGCTGCCAGGTCCAGAGTGTGTCATGGGTCCCTGTACGGCCTCCCATTGCTGCTGTCTCCATCGCCACACTCTGCCATGTGCCACTTTCAGGTCTCCTCACACTGCTGGTGGGTTCCATTTTGTCATAGGGTGCTGGCAGATTACGGGCCTCCCATTGCTGCTGCCAGGCCCGTAATCTGCCATGGGCCCCCGTACCGACTCCTCATGCTGCTGCCAGGCCCGTAATCTGTCATGGGCCCCTGTACCGCCTCCTCATGCTGCTGCCAGGTCCAGAGTGTCTCATGGGTCCCTGTACGGCCTCCCATTGCTGCTGTCTCCATCGCCACACTCTGCCATGTGCCACTTTCAGGTCTCCTCACACTGCTGGTGGGTTCCATTTTGTCATAGGGTGCTGGCAGATTACGGGCCTCCCATTGCTGCTGCCAGGCCCGTAATCTGCCATGGGCCCCCGTACCGACTCCTCATGCTGCTGCCAGGCCCGTAATCTGTCATGGGCCCCTGTACCGCCTCCTCATGCTGCTGCCAGGTCCAGAGTGTGTCATGGGTCCCTGTACGGCCTCCCATTGCTGCTGCCAGGCCCGTAATCTGCCATCCCCCGTACCGACTCCTCATGCTGCTGCCAGGCCCGTAATCTGTCATGGGCCCCTCACCCGCCTCCTGGTGGCTGCTGCCAGGTCCAGAGTGTGTCATAGGGTCCCTGTACGGCCTCCCATTGCTGCTGCCAGGCCCGTAATCTGCCATGGGCCCCCGTACCGCCTCCTCATGCTGCTGCCAGGCCCGTAATCTGTCATGGGCCCCTGTACCGCCTCCTCATGCTGCTGCCAGGTCCAGAGTGTGTCATGGGTCCCTGTACGGCCTCCCATTGCTGCTGTCTCCATCGCCACACTCTGCCATGTGCCACTTTCAGGTCTCCTCACACTGCTGGTGGGTTCCATTTTGTCATAGGGTGCTGGCAGATTACGGGCCTCCCATTGCTGCTGCCAGGCCCGTAATCTGCCATGGGCCCCCGTACCGACTCCTCATGCTGCTGCCAGGCCCGTAATCTGTCATGGGCCCCTGTACCGCCTCCTCATGCTGCTGCCCAGGTCCAGAGTGTGTCATGGGTCCCTGTACGGCCTCCCATTGCTGCTGTCTGTCTCCATCGCCACACTCTGCCATGTGCCACTTTCAGGTCTCCTCACACTGCTGGTGGGTTCCATTTTGTCATAGGGTGCTGGCAGATTACGGGCCTCCCATTGCTGCTGCCAGGCCCGTAATCTGCCATGGGCCCCCGTACCGACTCCTCATGCTGCTCCAGGTCCATGCTGCTGCCAGGCCCGTAATCTGTCATGGGCCCCCATGTACCGCCTCCTCATGCCATGCTGCCAGGTCCAGAGTGTCTCATGGGTCCCTGTACGGCCTCCCATTGCTGCTGTCTCCATCGCCACACTCTGCCATGTGCCACTTTCAGGTCTCCTCACACTGCTGGTGGGTTCCATTTTGTCATAGGGTGCTGGCAGATTACGGGCCTCCCATTGCTGCTGCCAGGCCCGTAATCTGCCATGGGCCCCCGTACCGACTCCTCATGCTGCTGCTGCCAGGCCCGTAATCTGTCATGGGCCCCTGTACCGCCTCCTCATGCTGCTGCCAGGTCCAGAGTGTCTCATGGGTCCCTGTACGGCCTCCCATTGCTGCTGTCTCCATCGCCACACTCTGCCATGTGCCACTTTCAGGTCTCCTCACACTGCTGGTGGGTTCCATTTTGTCATAGGGTGCTGGCAGATTACGGGCCTCCCATTGCTGCTGCCAGGCCCGTAATCTGCCATGGGCCCCCGTACCGACTCCTCATGCTGCTGCCAGGCCCCGTAATCTGTCATGGGCCCCTGTACCGCCTCCTCCTCATGCTGCTGCCAGGTCCAGAGTGTGTGTCATGGGTCCCTGTACGGCCTCCCATTGCTGCTGTCTCCATCGCCACACTCTGCCATGTGCCACTTTCAGGTCTCCTCACACTGCTGGTGGGTTCCATTTTGTCATAGGGTGCTGGCAGATTACGGGCCTCCCATTGCTGCTGCCAGGCCCGTAATCTGCCATGGGCCCCCGTACCGACTCCTCATACTGCTGCCAGGCCCGTAATCTGTCATGGGCCCCTGTACCGCCTCCTCATGCTGCTGCCAGGTCCAGAGTGTGTCATGGGTCCCTGTACGGCCTCCCATTGCTGCTGTCTCCATCGCCACACTCTGCCATGTGCCACTTTCAGGTCTCCTCACACTGCTGGTGGGTTCCATTTTGTCATAGGGTGCTGGCAGATTACGGGCCTCCCATTGCTGCTGCCAGGCCCGTAATCTGCCATGGGCCCCCGTACCGACTCCTCATGCTGCTGCTGCCAGGCCTGTAATCTGTCATGGGCCCCTGTACCGCCTCCTCATGCTGCTGCCAGGTCCAGAGTGTGTCATGGGTCCCTGTTACGGCCCTTCCATTGCTGCTGCCAGGCCCGTAATCTGCCATAGGCCCCCGTACCGACTCCTCATGCTGCTGCCAGGCCCGTAATCTGTCATGGCCCCTGTACCGCCTCCTCATGCTGCTGCCATGGTTCCAGGTCCAGAGTGTGTCATGGGTCCCTGTACGGCCTCCCATTGCTGCTGCTGCCATGCCCCCCGTAATCTGCCATGGGCCCCCCGTACCGCCCCTGTCCTCATGCTGCTGCCAGGTCCAGAGTGTGTCATGGGTCCCTGTACGGCCTCCCATTGCTGCTGTCTCCATCGCCACACTCTGCCATGTGCCACTTTCAGGTCTCCTCACACTGCTGGTGGGTTCCATTTTGTCATAGGGTGCTGGCAGATTACGGGCCTCCCATTGCTGCTGCCAGGCCCGTAATCTGCCATGGGCCCCCGTACCGACTCCTCATGCTGCTTGCCAGGCCCGTAATCTGTCATGGGCCCTGTACCCGCCTCCTCATGCTGCTGCCAGGTCCAGAGTGTCTCATGGGTCCCTGTACGGCCTCCCATTGCTGCTGTCTCCATCGCCACACTCTGCCATGTGCCACTTTCAGGTCTCCTCACACTGCTGGTGGGTTCCATTTTGTCATAGGGTGCTGGCAGATTACGGGCCTCCCATTGCTGCTGCCAGGCCCGTAATCTGCCATGGGCCCCCGTACCGACTCCTCATGCTGCTGCCAGGCCCGTAATCTGTCATGGGCCCCTGTACTGCCTCCTCATGCTGCTGCCAGGTCCAGAGTGTCTCATGGGTCCCTGTACGGCCTCCCATTGCTGCTGTCTCCATCGCCACACTCTGCCATGTGCCACTTTCAGGTCTCCTCACACTGCTGGTGGGTTCCATTTTGTCATAGGGTGCTGGCAGATTACGGGCCTCCCATTGCTGCTGCCAGGCCCGTAATCTGCCATGGGCCCCCGTACCGACTCCTCATACTGCTGCCAGGCCCGTAATCTGTCATGGGCCCCTGTACCGCCTCCTCATGCTGCTGCCAGGTCCAGAGTGTCTCATGGGTCCCTGTACGGCCTCCCATTGCTGCTGTCTCCATCGCCACACTCTGCCATGTGCCACTTTCAGGTCTCCTCACACTGCTGGTGTGGTTCCATTTTGTCATAGGGTGCTGGCAGATTACGGGCCTCCCATTGCTGCTGCCAGGCCCGTAATCTGCCATGGGCCCCCGTACCGACTCCTCATGCTGCTGCCAGGCCCGTAATCTGTCATGGGCCCCTGTACCGCCTCCTCATGCTGCTGCCAGGTCCAGAGTGTCTCATGGGTCCCTGTACGGCCTCCCATTGCTGCTGTCTCCATCGCCACACTCTGCCATGTGCCACTTTCAGGTCTCCTCACACTGCTGGTGGGTTCCATTTTGTCATAGGGTGCTGGCAGATTACGGGCCTCCCATTGCTGCTGCCAGGCCCGTAATCTGCCATGGGCCCCGTACTGACTCCTCATGCTGCTGCCAGGCCCGTAATCTGTCATGGGCCCCTGTACCGCCTCCTCATGCTGCTGCCAGGTCCAGAGTGTGTCATGGGTCCCTGTACGGCCTCCCATTGCTGCTGTCTTCATCGCCACACTCTGCCATGTGCCACTTTCAGGTCTCCTCACACTGCTGGTGGGTTCCAATTTGTCATAGGGTGCTGTATGGCCTCCCATTGCTGCTGCCTCCACCGCCACACTGTGGCTCCACACTCTGGTTTTGGCCCCGTGACTGCCCAAATGAGTGAAGTGTGCGGTGATTCTAAGATCGACGGCACTCATCTGCATGTCATACTGACTGACAGTATTATTTCTCTTCCCCAGCAGACTCCAAGGGCATTTAAATTAAAGGTACAGTGTTCTGCACTAATATAAAGGCTCTCTGAAGCCAGAAACACCCTTTTTATAAGTTAAATTCGCAGCGAATATATTCGACTCGAATCGAATTTATTCCGCGAATTCGCCGAATCAGCCGAATCGAATTTTTGAATACTTCGCTCATCTCTAGTGGTGAGGTTTGCTTTGAATATTAAAGATGAATTAAATAGCACTTTTGGTTTGTGGTGCTCAGATACAGTGATGTTCCACTTTAAAGTGTTAGTTCACCTGAAAAAAATGTAAAGGTGGATTAATGCTGGACACCCTCCTCACCCCCCAGTTCCTGGTGTACTTACTCCTGGGGTTGCCAAGCTGTCAGCGACCCTTCAACTACTCCAGCCGGGATTTGAATCAATGTGACAGCACTGACCAGTCAGAATCCATATGGTCCATCAAAGAAGTGCTGACATAGAAGGGAGAAGAGAGAGGAGATGTCAAATCTCAAGACTACTGGAGCTGCTGCAGGATTGTCAAAAGCTTGGCAACCCTGCGGGTAAGTAAAGCTGGGGGGGGTGGGGGATTGTCCGGTGTTAATTCACCTTTACATTTTTTTCTGTAAAGGTACACTAACAATTTCAATAAAAAGTGCCCTCCAAAAAATAACATCACACACCTTTCCAGTAATGGAGCTGTACTATTATAATAATTTAATAATGGGCATTACAATTTTTGCAAATGCCCTTTCCCAAGTGGCCCTATTTAACATTTAAGGCTAGACTGATGTACTTTAATTAATTGCTTTAGTAGAATCATGTATATACAAGCATATGTAAGTAGCTGTGTATAATGTATGTATGTAGGTCTCTCTTCTCTCTCCGTCTCTCTCTCTTCTCTCCCGTCTCTCTCTCTCTTCTCTCCCGTCTCTCTCTCTCTTCTCTCCCGTCTCTCTCTCTCTCTTCTCTCCCGTCTCTCTCTCTCTCTCTTCCCTCTCTCTCTCTTATTTTTGTGTTCAGTATGTTAGATGCATGTAAACAATTGTGCTTGCTTTACAGCAGGATGCAGAATGGTAGAGATCATATTGGTCTTAATGCATCTATATAATCTCCTTCTTTGCGGAAATAGTTGGGCCATTTTTTTGCAAATTCCTCTATGACCTGGAGACACTTAGATTTGATCAGTGACTGGGTCACCTGTACATCTAGAGTGTTGCTTTTAAAGGAGTTACATATATTGTATATACTCACCACCATGCCACAGCATCACATGACGCTGGTCATTCGGTTCTTATTCTTCTTGAAGTGGACAGCATTGACTGTCTACTGTGCTCCTCCATGTGCTGAGAGCTGGAGCCAGCAGTCAATCAGGCAGCTGGATGGATCCCAACAATATGGTCAGGATCCTTTCACAGCCTGCAGACGTCAGCTAACTGTGGGCTTAAGCCCACTGTTGGCTGATTGTGGGTCACAGGAGAACAAAAATAAGTGCACTCCTGTAACCCAGAAGAGAATTGTGACTGGAAAAGTGCTACTTACTGAAACATATAAACATAAAACTAAGTATATAAAGTTATACTGTGCAAAAAATGAATTCAAATATATCTTAATAACAAAATACAAACTAATTGCTTTAATAGATCAGTCCAAATATTACATATGTGACCAACACCACTGATATTCAAAGTGCTCTTGCTGAAAATCCTCTTTGTGCAATCTTGTGCCACCTAAGTGCTCCCAGAACTCTCACCTCCAGTTCTCTTTAAAATACCATGTATAAATCTATCTCCGTTCTCCTCCACTCTTTATAGATACTCCATATCCCTCTTCTGGTTGTATCAAAAGCATCCCTTCTAACTTAGAGGAGCCATATCAACTCGTCCATACATGCAAAAAATAACACTTCATATGGTGCATAAACTGTAACAACAATAGCATTGATTATGAATGTTGCAGTCACATAAAAAAACGACGACATAAAAACACTTTTTACAATCCCATATCGCACTTCCGCATGTGTCACTTCCTATTGCGGTCTGCCTCCAACTATGCCCGACACGTTGCATCACCATACGTGATTTCATCAAGGGATAATAGGGGGCAGATCATGTACTCTTTAAATAGTCTGTGATAATTATCAATTAGTGGCCATTTTCTTATAGCCCCATATATGGAAACGCCATGGCGGCCATCCTCCCTGTGTCCCTCATAACATATAATGGAAAGACTTACATCAATGACATAAATTACTGACAGCAGCCTCTTATAAGCACAGTGGTGATAATCAATTAGCGGCCATTACGAAGAAGTCTCGTACATGGACACTCCATGGCAGCAATCTTCCCTGCGTCTCTCATAATATAAAAATAAAAAGCATATAACGATGACCTCAACTATTAGTGATAAATCTCTTCTAGGAACAATAATCACAATTTTTTGGGGCTACTAACATAATACATACCTAAATAAAATGAATATAGAATTTGATTTGAACTGCTTTATTAGTGATTTTTAAATTAATTATTTATTATATTATTTTATTTTATTATTCTATTTTCTATTTTACTTTATTACATTTTAATTTATGGAGACATATTTTTACATTTGGTTAGATTATCAGATCATATGTTAATTTATTAATATAATGTTAGCCTAATCTACATTTTTCCTCTCCGCTTCTTCGATTAATTAGTGTTATTTAAATATATTTTATTTAGTTATGCACATTATTTAGTTGCTGCAGGAGTTTTTCACTGTTTTATAACTGTAAAAGCTTTTGCTGTACTTTTACCCTTTTAAGGTGTGCCTATAGAGTATCATTATGCAGAGATCTCTGTGGTTGGAGTTATCTGCATCTTTACAGCAAGCACATAAACAAAAATGTAGCACGTAATCACCGATGTTTTATCAAACGTAAAATAATCTGTACCCAATTTATAAAAATATCATATAAAAAACCATAGTAACTATGTAAGCAGCCTTTTCCCTATACTCCCAGCATAATTAAAAGCTAAGCAAAATGAGTGCTAGAGAGAATCTTAAACTCAAATTCAGCCTTGATCTTGTAATCAAGTAATATAAGAGGGCTGCATGCACCTAAAAAAAATATAATGTAATATACATTCACCAACCACTTTATTAGGTACACCTTGCTAGTGCCGGGTTGGACCATTTTTGCCTTCAGAACTGCCTTAATTCTTTTTGGCATAGATTCAACAAGGTGTTGGAAACATTCCTCCGAGATTTTGGTCCATATTGACATGATAGCATCAAGCAGTTACAGCAGATTTGTTGGCTGCACATCCATGATGCAAATCTCCCACTTCACCACATCCCAAAGGTGCTCTATTGGATTGAGATCTGTTGACTGTGGAGGCCATTGGAGTTCAGTGAACTCATTGCATTGTTCAAGAAACCAGTTTGAGATGATTTGAGCTTTGTGATATTGTGTATTATCCTGCTGGAAGTAGCCATCAGAAGATGACTACACTGTAGTCAAAAAGGGATGGACATGGTCAGCAACAATACTCAGGTAGACCGTGGTGTTTAAATTATGCTCAGTTGGTATTAAGGGGCTCAAAGTGTGCCAAGAAAATATCCCCCACGCCATTACACCAGATCTCCACTCTAATTCATCCCAAAGGTGTTCTATTGGGTTGAGGTCAGGACTCTGTACAGGCCAGTCAAGT